TTGGTCGTCGATGGACTCTGTATGGTATACGTCAAAGGAATCACTGGCACTATCCACAAAGTCCACCTCCTTGCTGGACTCGGCGGTGGATGAAGTCTTTCCACTTTTCCTCAATGGACACTCTCTCTTCCAGTGCCCAGTGCGTTTGCAGCGGTGACACTTCGTCTTGGCCTTCAAAGCCTCCACCCTTCCTTTCATTGTACCGGTCAACTGCCAGGCTGAAGTCGTATATAGTAGGACGATATCCCCTACTCACCTTCTTTTCCTTCATCTTTTGACGCACCATGGCATAGGTCTCAAAGGTCTCGAGGATGCCCTCTGAATCATAGTCGTCATACTCCTGGGCCTTCGAGGTAATCGTTTCCATCACCTAGGGGTTCTCGATCACTGTCAGCATCCTCTGGATTTGGGATTGCCACCTCATCTTCATCAGCAATGAAAATGTCCTTGGTCTTGGCCGTCTTGGAGGATTTGCCTGAAGGAAAAACATTCCTCACTGCCCGCACTATGTCAGAGTATTTGACAGAGCCTTGACTTGCGGTGAGCACCATGGACTCTGAAGTGTGCTCAAGGGCAAGCTTTTCAAAAGCATCCATCCTCTCACCTCTTCTGGAAGCTCTACTCCATTCCTGACCAAAGCCTTGTAGGCCGTGTCAAGCCTGGTCATGAACTTCCGATATGTTTCGCCCTCTTTGATGACGATGACATAGAAATAGTCTTTCATCACCCGTTGGAGCTCATCCTTCGAAGCTTCTTTGTATTTCTCATCCAAGGTGTCGAGGACTAGCTTCCATCCTGCTTCCTTGGTGATTTCATCTACTTCAACCGCCTCCAGCAATTCTTCAGCCTCTCCTCCCAGGTGCTCAAGCAATTTGGCACCCCATTTCTTCTCTGGGATGTTCGTTGGAAGTGCCATCAAATAAAGCTGAGCCCTGCGCCTCCATCTTCTATATTCACTGGCATCTGCACCTGTGAACGTGTCCAGACTCTTCGAGCTCTTCTCTTCCGCTGTCGAAGCCATCACGCCCCACGTTTCTCCCAAGCGTCGCTCCCTTCGCTGGTGCAATGATGTGGATTCACTGTACCAGCTCAGGGAGCTCCGCTACCACTGACGAACCCGGCACGATCGGTCCCTCGGTGGTCACACACTCATGGCTCATCATGGCTTTTCATCTGCGGCTAAAGGGGGCTTGTACCATAAGGTTCCGACGGTATTCGTTCGGTCTTCGACTGGCAACTCATGCTCTATACAAACAGGAACAGACATGCACTTTCACAATTATTGCAATTTATTGCATGTCATATCCACTCAATGCATTTCCCCTGAAGCCCAAAGATGCCCAGAAAGGTCACAAGTCTCGATCGATTAAGCCATGCTTGAAGTAGACTTATTCTCCCACCAGCTCTCAAACAAATTATCGAGGTCTCCCACATGTCCCCCAATTCAATTCTACCGTAAAGGACAACAGAACAAAGGCGTCCTTCCACTTAGCCTTGAGTGAAAGCCGGGTCTCGTTTTCGCAGCCTTGACCCTTTGGACTGATGGACTCATAAGTTGTCCTTCCTTCCGCCCGCCCTGACCGGATAGACCTGAAAATGCACCCCTGCCCGCGACATACCCATTGGTCATCATTGGTCAAGGGAAATGGTTCTTGAGCCTGCGATTTCGGGGGATTCTCCACTTCGTCGTCCAGGAAACACCCACAAAAAGCTCAGCCCTTTCTTCATGCCCGAAAGCCATCCACCGGTGGGCTCCTTGGGAAGGCCAGCAAGTTCTGGGTGTTTCTCCAGGAAGGCATACTGCTCCGAGGGCGCCAGTGCCAAGCCTGATTGGTAGTGACAGATCCGTCATGATCAATTAGAAAAAAGGAAAAACGATGTCCAGAGTCCAAAGCATGTTTGTTTTTTAAAGTTTAAAGGCGCACTTCACTGTCCTGTCTCTGTGACGGTTCTGATCATCACCATCGAATGTTGTTATTATTCTCCATTACCTTCGTCCTCCTCCTCATCCTCTTCTGCACACACCATATCTTAAAGTTGATGAATTCTGGTCACTCTCCCCTCAATCTACCACCTTCTACAGCTCCACTTCTACAGCGCATCCAAAAAAAGCGCATCCTTCCGTTAGCCTTCATCCCTCACCGCCATCAGCTTGTCATGCGCCAGCTGCAGGTGCCGCATGGCCCGGCTGCAGAGCTTCTCACGGCGGCGCAGCTCCTGGACGTCCATGTCCTCTGTCTCCACACACGGGAAGACAGTGCCACCATCCTCCTCACGGCCTGTCAGAAGGGTCTGAGGATGGATTTGTATATAAAAGACCCCGAAACCGGTTGGTGGTTGATGTTCTTTGGGAGCCCTAAAGTTTCACAAGCCAGGCTGTGTCACCTGTCACGGAAAGAAGCAAACAAGTTCCACACAATCACAAACCAATCATGTTGACCATTGATTACTAAAATGTTTTTATGATCTAGATATATATATATATATAACCACCCATTGGAACATGTCAACCACCATAGAGGACTCCAATATCCCTCGACGTCCCTCTTCACGACCCCCTTCACGGCCCTTCGCGCCTCATTCGTCCCACCGCACCCCGACCCCGTCCCACCTTTGCCCGTCAAGGGCAGCACTACACTGCGGCGCCGCTCGGGATGCAGCCGCGCGTCCAGGTGCAGCGGCCCGGAGCGGTTCAGCGCGCTGCCGGGCCGCCAAGGTGCCTGGGTGCCGGCCGTTTTCACTTCGCGGGGATGAGCGGCCTGGGCTCGTGGCGAGCCCAGGGGGATGATCGATCGATGCCACAAGGGATTCCAAGGAAGGCATGGCCTTCCTGGTACTGCTTCCCCCCAACGAGCGGGCTTGCAACTCGCCGAATCGCCCAGGCACCCAGCGAACCACATAGGCACCGAACGAGCTGAGGGAAGCATGGGCGCCGGCGCGGCTCGCGTGGGTTCCAGCGCGAATGACCAAGTCCTGCTGTCTGTGGGCGTTTTGAGGAGGAACAAACCCCTGCCAATGGTGGGGCAATATCCATCTCAGGGTGGGTTTTCAGAGTCAGAAGGCAATGGACATGGACTACCGGAAAAAATGCATTTCTTTCGCAATCCACTAATCATTATACTCTTTTGGGGTGCCACATGTCCCAAGGGAGCTATTCACAATTGACAGCAAACTGCACTGACTTGGACCTTTAGATCTTTAGATGATGCGCAACCTCTAAGTGTTGGGCCTCTTAACCTGTCGTGGCAGGTGGGAGTTTGACTCACAGCTCCACGTTCCACCGAGCTGTCCACAGCCTCAGTCCTTCACCACATCCCACTCAGGTGCGTCTTCCGTCTCAATGTCAGGGTCGCTGATGTTCAGCACAGAGACTTCTTCGCCACCAGTGACATCCGGGGATGAGCTGCTGCCAGCTTCGGGATCGCTCAGGTCTTGGAACATCTCCTGCAAAGAGAAGGAGATGCATGACACCCCCCCGGATTTACACTCCCGGATTTAGTGGATCTCTTCGCCGTGGAGCAGGGAAAGTTGAACAGAAAATACTTGATGAGAAATGAGAAACCTCTAGCATGGGGACGTTTACCCTTCATTCAGAGGCATTGGGTTTCGGTTTGACCCACAGTCATATAGGTTCACGAAGAATTACTCCAACCTGTGCTGTGAAGTAGGATGAAGCAGGATTTCTTGTAGACTTGGTGCGATGTAAAGCTCCACCATGAATTCCGGGGTGTCCATCTATACTGCCCTCAGAAAATCCCTCAAATCCCCAAGACTAATTTTGGCCAGTCCTGCCTTTTTTTGTATATTATAAAGCTACCACTTGGGATATGAGCCAAGAGTCCTGGGATATAACAGAGTCTTGGCTGCACCACTTGCAAGACGCGGATGGGAGTCCCTCCAGCAGTGATGTTCACTGGGGACCAACTGCCTACAGTAGCAGTGCGCCTCAGAGTCGATAGAACCCCCCCCTCCTCAGTTTCGGCGTGGGAAGCGTGGAAGCTTGAAAAAGTGCCAAGAAAAAAAAAACGAAAAGACGGAACCCAACACCAAATCAACCATCCAACTTCATCCAACATCTACCCTGCGGCGTCTCCTCTTCTGCCAGCTTTCGAATGGCTTGGATCTCCTCCTCCTTTACAAATCCTCGGTGCAGCTCGATCAGGGGCTCCTCACTCAAGATCTGCAGAGCTTTTCGAGGGCCTTTCGAGGCAGCCCTTGAAGCTGGGCAGAGCCAGTGGAGCAAAGCCAGGAAGAGCAAGGAAGTCATCCTTCGCAGCTTCAGATCGCCTGCCGCGGGCAATCCGCCAGAAACGGAGAGAATGCAACTGCAACGGAGGGAATTTGAGTTGATGTTGACCGGTGATGGCCCATTGTTGGCTGCCACACGACTAAGGTAGGGAGCCCAAGGAAAAAGGACTGTCAGTGTCAGGTTTCCAGTGACTTGAGGACCGTTTTCTCAACATCCAAGGTCTAAGCTGCCTTGGTGGATTTAACTGCAACCTCTGACCTCTGTTGAATCCAGATGCTGTTGAACTGGGCATCCAAAATCATGTCTTCACTGTGGTACCATCATGCTAATTAATTCCTGTTGCTATGGCTATGAGTCTTTCTTCAATGGGACAAAGGACGAAACATCGGAGGAGGTCTCCTCCGATGTCTGTCTGCCCACGAGACCCCCCTCCGCCCCCCGCCGCTCTCGCCGGATCCACGGAGGCCGGTGGGATCGTGTGGAGCAAAGTTCGAGCTTTACACAGCTTCGGAAGGCTGAAAAGCCTCTCAAACTGGTCTCAGCTTGCAGCTGAAATCCTGTCATCGAAGGGCTATTGGGAGAGCTCCACGCCGATTTCTTGGGAATCGACTTTTCATATTACACATGTCCAAAAAGCTGCTCAACAGATTTGGGTGCCAACATGAAGCCACTTCACCCATGGACCGACGACCTACCATGGGGCCCACCGTCATACCGACACAGCCTCGCCCTCCTCGCTAGGTGCGCCGACACAGCCCAGGCCAACCCTTCGCATGATCGTGCAGCGTCGTCACACTGAGCCGGTCGGGGTCGGGGTCGTCACCGGGTCGTCCAACCGGGTGGGGCCTGGGGTGTAAGGCCGGCCATTGCCGTGTCTTGGAACAGGTTGCTATGACTTGTTCCAAGAAAATGGGCAAGACACGGAAGGGAGAGAGCAAAATATGGCATGTCCCGATGGTTTTTGTGCTATTCCATGCCCTGTCTACTTGAGTATGCCTAAAAAGAATCTCCAAAAGATGTATGTGGCATGCCAGAAGTCCTGATTCTTCTAAACATAGAGGGGTTGTGAAAGGTGGATGTCCAGCACTTCCAGCATGTTTTCTTCTGCCTGCGCCCCCGATTCTCTTCTGAGGTTGAACGTTGTGTTCCTGCTCCAACTGCTGCAACATGTGCTTCATCGGTTTGTGAGAAGCAGTCAAAATTCCAAACCTTGAGTCACCGCTTGGACACGCAGTCGCGTGTCCAATGTCTGCATGACAGTCCAAAAGTGGCATTGCCTCGAACCTTTTTGGACCCAAAAATGTCCTTTGGCCGCTGAGTAGGTAACGATGGGGATGAAGAAGTGGGTCCCAATGGTTTCAAGACATGACCTACGAATCGGCAACAAAAACACTCCATCGCTCCGCATTGTCCAACTTCGTCCCCTCATGCGAGACCATCTCAACAAATGTTTGGTGTGGTTTGGCAGCGATGTCCACAAGGTGTTCACTGACCGGCGAAACATGGAAACCTACCAGGCCGTTTGGAAGATGATGTTCCTTGACCAACACAGCTCCAAACTTATCAAACTGGGTATTTTCGTGGGTCAGGACACCCTTTGAGACCCAGAAAATTTATACCAAAAATGCGAGGTTACTAACCGAAGGGAAGACTGGGGGTCGACCCACCGTCTCCACGCGACTGGTCGTCTCCAAGCGCCCCTACTCCCAGCAAGAGATGGGCCTGGCAAAAGAGAACGACCCCAGTCATTGAGCCGATCGAACGCCCCTTCGACGCGTGCTGATGGCATCCAGAACTCAAAATCCAGTCTTGCAAAAGGGTCCTGAGCTATTCAGAGTCTCAGGTTCACTTTATGCCTGCATCCCAGTTCCAATGCTGGCTGCTGGCAGCGCAGCCAGTCATGATCAGTGTGAGCCACGCTCATGCGGACTTCGGAAGAAACCGGTAATTTATTCCAGACTCGTTGAGAGGCCAGCGTCCACAGCGTGGTTCGAGCCCAGAACATCGAATGCCCAGTAGCTTTGACGTGAATTGACAATCTAAAGAACTTGGACTCTTATAGGGTGATGTCTCGCAAAAAAAAAGATCCTCAAAGGGTCGAACCACAGGGTGTTCCACCAACAAAAACATGGACACCATCCACCAACATGCTAAACAGCTACGGCGTTGAAATTGTTTCGCTCGAATCAGGAGTCATTCTCAAACCTTCCAAAATGTCACGCTGACCGCCAAGCCGAAACAAAACCGGTGAACCAGCGCCGGAGAGGTGTGTGGTTGCGCGCAGCATCCGGATCCCACCGGTGTGGAAATCCCACCGGTGTCACCCCACCTGCCGTCAGGATCCATGGGCCAATCGCCCAAGCGTGGGGGCTGGAAGCCCTGGGGCCTCCGTGAGAAAGAGGCAGACGGGGTCAGGATTGGCAAATCCTCTTATAGGATAGGTAGATAGAGGAGAAAGGAATGAAAAAAAAGAAAGTCGTACTTTCTGAACATGAGTCAGTGGTTTTTCTCTTACGTCTATATACTTGTACCTGTCCTAGTGATTCTTTGAATTCGGTACCTATCTCATTCAGGTGTCTGGAATCCTCTTATTTTCGTTATATGATGGTTATGCTACTTCCCTTTATGTATGAACTGTCTGTTCATTCTTGATAACCACCATAGTTCGTTTCTTTGGTCTATTTTGTGGTACTACTTTCCAAAACTTTATCAGATTCTGATCATACATTGAATTTCCATGAAAGTATTGGAGTCATCATTATCATTGTTATTGTTCTTAATGGCATTTTGTGAGAACATGTTTCAGGATGGTCAGGACGGCATCTGAGCAACTTCCTGGTCCAACCTCTTCAAGCAAACTCTCTTCCACCCAAGAAGGCTCGCGTTTCTCCGAAGCTTCTGGTTCGGAGAAGCCGATCTCAGGATCGTGTTTCGCGGATCCCCAGTGGGACCTCTGCACCTCACGACCTCCATCTCTTGCCCCCCCCCCCGGCCAGGACGTGTTGCTCTCCGCTGCGGTGGCGGTCCCCAGTGGCCATTGTGCCCTAGGCCGGCGCTCGAGCCGGACTGGTGTGGGTTCATGGGAGTGTGTTCTGTGGTGCTGGATGGAGTTGTTTTCTGACTTAAAACATTGGCTGTGAATACCCCCATTAAGGCAACTCACCATTTGCAACAGAATGGGGGTTCCATCATTCTCATGCATGAGAGGATTTCCTTGAAGGGGAGAGATGATGGGGTTTCAGCAGCCTCAAGGAGTGGATTCAGGCTGCGCAGCTATAAAGAGGTGACCTTGGGATGAGATGTTGATGTTGAGAGCAGTTGGCCCACTTCCTCTTCGCCCACTACAGTACTTGTCGGCCTCTCCGACCTTCGACCGTGCCTTTTCTCCCGGCCGTCGAGGCCCCAACGGTGCCACCCCGGTGGGCTCGCTGGCCGCCAGGCCCAGCAGAAGCGACACGGCCACACCTGGTGAGTCGGGGGGGTCCCACTCAACGAGTCGACGAAGGGAGTGAAATGGACCACCCAGATTGGCCTGAAATTCCAGGTGACATGGATCACATCTGGGTGTGAAGACCATGTTGCGAGGTCAAGGCGTGGTTTTGGGGGTGCCATGGAGGGCACAAATCCAGGAAGATGATAGAATCGCCAATCTGTTCCGGCCTCTCGTGTCCATTTTGGCCCTCGTCTGGGGCGTTGTGTTCAAAAGTGGCCTTGAGCCCAAAAGCACCAGCACAGCACCTGGCAATGACACCAATTGAATTGCTCTTTTGAACGAGGGTATCAAAAAGATCAAAGTATACAGCGACCTGTTTTCAATGCGGTGCGGGGTTATCAAATGACTCGCCACATGTTTGGGATACTTTTGGTCAATACTTCTTTTCTTAAACGGCCTCTGTGCGGCTGTCATTCAATGATTAGTGTGAGAGAGTGTGTGCGCCCAGGAGGGCATCAATCTAGCGGCTTAAACCTCATCCTGCTTTTGAAAGGATGCCTTCCGTTGAACATCCGCAAGCTCCTCTGCCCAAAACGATGGCTGCTTTGCTGAATCCATTCATTTTTTCAAAAAACAGTACAGTCAGAAGAAAGAGGCTTCAGCACGTGGGACAACACTTTGTTTGGGCCCACACCTCTTCAGAACAAGGTACTTCACAAAGTACAGAGTCAAAAGGCTTCAGAACCTGCCAGAGATCCACATGGCCCACCCCGTTGGGGTCGTCACATGGCCCCACCGTCCCTTTTCACGCACCGTTTCACGCGCACACTCCCCCCGGTGAGAGAGGCGACGTCTCACATGGTCTCGCGGCGGCGGAACTTGCTGCAGACCTTGGGAAAGCGTTGGTGTTCTTTTCCCACGAAGTCCCAAAACATGGATCAGTTGACATCCCAGCATTCTATTCTCCACTCCACTCCTCCCTCTTTTTCTAGTTCAACCAAGGGGGCTGTTGACCCAGATCGAAAAGTGGGACAAGACAGAATGAAAGCTCCACAAGCCACAAGCCGCCTTCGCTTTGATTTGATGTCCTTGAAAATAACATGCTGGGCCCACCAGTGGAACAACTTGAACTACCCCAGGTGTCACAGTCTGGAAACACGCAGTTCAATCATGCCACCACCTCACCTCCGTGTTGTCTCAACTGTGATCTCTTCCGGTGCCCAAACGTGTGGAACCAAATGAACACTTGAACACAGGCCTCACAGATCTCGGGATTCTCGGGCGCCCCACTGGAATCAGGGCCACCAGGACGATCCAGGAGTAGGGAAGCCCGAAAATCAGGTGCATTGCCTGGCAGTGGCCGGCGGCCGGGCCAGGGCTGGGAAACCAAAAAGCTGTGAAGCTTTAAGGATTGAATGAAAGACGGCTTTTTGCATGACTTACTGTATTTCTCATTCACTTGGTTATGACTGACCACTTGTGTTATGGCAGTGTTGCTTGGGTCAGAATTACGATTCTGGAGGGCCCCAACCTTGGAAACCAGGGTTCAGCTGGTGTAGTCCAAGAAACAACTCTCAGATTTTCGGACCACGGGTGCACGGTGCAAGTGAGTGTGTGTACAAGTAAGTGTGTGTGTGTGTCAAAAATGAGATGTTGACAGACATGGCCATGGTTGTTCGTTGTTGGATCCGCCTTTCTCGGGATGTTCGTGAGTAGAGATTGTTGTTGAACAGCCCGAAAAAGAGTCGAACATTCCGATGCAGAAGGGTAAGACTGGTGTTGATTTAGGATCCTACAAGTGAAACCACAAGGGAGATCGCAGGGGAGTTCGCAGCTAGCAAACTCACCCCAACAGTGCGCAGCTGCTCCGCAGATCGGGTACAGCTGCTCCACAGTTCTAAAGGCCCCTTTCCTTCCGTTTCCCAACTGAGGGAGCCCAACACACCATCGCTTTCCTCGTGAGACCTGGTTGGGTCGTCCCGTTCTCCTTGTGGATGAGGAAGACGAGCAGCGCCCAGTCGTTGAGGAAGCCTAAGCGATCCTCGGTGAAGATCTCCCGAGAAAAGAATCCTCGGATCCATCTGCGGTGTTCGGGGAATGGACCGCGCCACAGCGCGCCACGGTGTTCGTGGACCGCGCCACATGGACCGCGGTTGGAAGAAAAAGGGGAGCATTTCGCTGTGGATCTGAAATGTCGGTGGACACAGGGGGGTTTTCTTGAAGGTCTCTGGATGGGAACAGCATGGAATATCCAGCTGCCCAAGCTCCCTGACTGAAATAGTAAGTGAAGCCTGCTTTCTGTTCTCACTGAATAATAGGGGGCAGTTTCTATGCTTGTTTATTCCAACTGCCTATCCTCATCCGAAGGAGAACTCAAAAACTGGCAGCGCACCAAGTCCGAAGCTGCTTCAGCTAATTCAGCCTTGTCTCGATCACTGGCTGAAAGCCAGGCCAACAGGCAAATAGCTTCCATGACTTCGACTTTGCTCCTGGCAGCTGGTGGGGTCGTTCCGCTGATGGACAAGAAATCAACAAAAGAACCTGGTTGACCGACAGACTTCCCCACTCTTCAAGAAAGGCGATTGCCGATCTGGTCTCATCCCTAGACAGGATTCTTCGCTGCGGTCAGACGGGTCATGGAACAAGCATGTGAGGCGCATCTGCAGAAATGCCCTGGACGATCACCAGGGCGACCAAGAAATTCTCACAATGCTGCAACAGCTATGCACCAGGTAGTTGTACAAATGAGTATATAGCGGCGTGAATCTGCGGCTGGGGTCACAATGATAGTATTTATCCACGGATTTCTCTTGAGAGAAAGTAGCAAGTCAAATGCCTCTCCCGCAGCTCTTCCGCACGCCCTCAAATCCTCCATGCGATAAATCGGTCAATCAAAAACTTCCTTTACACCTATACTAGCGATGGCCTGCAACCTCTTTGATCGGCAAGCCGTTCCCCATTGCTCGAATACCCACGAATCGCAGAAACAGGGAAGTTCCGGACAAAGGTGGTCCAAGGTTGGTCTGCTAGAGTCCACGTCGAAGAGATCCCAGAAATGGTTCTGAAACCTGTAATCCAACAGTTTCGACTTACATTACACACCGTTGATTCATGTTGGAAGAAATGGATTCATGTTCCTGCAAGTTCCTGTCTGATTCGATCTGCCACTAACCTTTGGATCCCCCTCCGGGTCGTGGGAAACCCCCGAGTCGACGCGATGCTTCGCTGGCCAACCGTCCAGCGAAGTGGTTCGGTGCTCAGGGTGCGACTCGTAGGGAATGAGGATAGGAGCCCCAATAGAGATTCCTTTTGGATCGATTCCTTCATTCCCTACGAGTCGCACAAGTCAATACATGGGTGATATGATATCCCAGACACGATCAAACTGGCATATGATGCCCGACCAGGCCAGGGGTGGTTGAAAAGGGTTCAATCTATATAGGTATGCCATACCTGGCAGTGTCTGTTTCACCTTGTTTCTGTTTCACTTGTAGGTGGTACACTTACTACACGACTGTGTCACCGGTTGAGCTCTCCCACTCCCCACAAGACTCAACTTGAGCCTTGGGAAAGGAGACTACAAGGGTAGGAAGCCACACTCTTGCGACAAAAAACAGTTGTCTTGGTAAAAAGCTTGATTTGATCTTTCATCGAGAGGTCTTCAATTCCATGTTCAGCCACAGGTTGTCACATCCGCCATACAAAGCCCATCGGAACGGGGCCACACAGAAAGCCGTTGGGGGCGGTTGAAACCGGGCGAGTTTCGTCCCGGTCACCACGAGAAACCGGGACTGATATCTTGTATTGCCATCAGCAACATGCATGATTCATGTCCCTTGGTTTCACTACACCAAATTCGGGCCGCATCATGTACCTCTAGTCAGTATGGTCGCACCTGAAACTCACCCTCGAAATCCCCATGGTCGCCTGAAACCCTCTCGTCTTCGCACCGTTTGCTTCGGAGGACAGCGACCGCCGAAACCCTCTCGTCTTCGCTACGGAGACGTCTCGCGAAGACCGTGGGTTTTCTCACCCCTCGACCTGAGGATTCGGTCGAAGGTGGGGTACATATCCAGGCGCTTGTCCAAGTATGGAGGGTAGATGATAGCAAATGCAATGAGCCTCGGATGCCGAGGCTAAGAAGTGGATGCGCCCGAGGATACACCGGAAGAAGCCCGACAGTCTGGAGCTAAGAAGAGCGTCTTCTCACCCGGTTGTATTGACTCATGTGCATTCCTTTCGCTAGAAAACGCTGTGTTGAACCATTGACCTTTCTTTGTGAGTCGCCTGGTCGTATTGACACAATTCAATTCAATGCAGTTGTGCAGATTCTCACAAAGGCAATGGCTCTTGGAATCCAAAGCTTGAGGCCTACTATATATGTTCTTAAACTTCAGCTACAGCTACACCACGGTGCCACAGTCTGCCGCTACCGAAGTGTAACTTCCTTCCGGTCAGCATCAATAGTCTCAAAAATCTGAGCTTCCACTTGGTAGAGAGGCACCCTGCGCACCGAACTTCAAATGTCGAATTGAATCGTTTGGGGTCTTACTCCTACCAATGTATAGTATTGTCCACGTCTATGTGTCTTGCAGAATACCATGCACTTGAGCGGTGTCAGAGGCGAATTGATGCGAGGTCCGGTTGTGTTTCCTGGGTAGCTTAGGGCTTCTCCACTCCGTTTGAGGCCCATGGATTCTATGGAGAATCCGAAGCTGCATACGGTGCAGACAAGACATCCAAGAAGCAGGACGAACCAATATCGGCAAACATAGTCGCCTGGGCCGGGTATGAACGTGAGTGTTTTTATCTGCTTTGTTTTTCTTTCTTCCTTATGTTCTTCCTTCCTTGCTTCCTTCCTTCCTTCCTTCCTTTCTTTCTTTCTTTCCTCCCCTTCCCCTTCCCCTTCCCCTTCCCCTTCCTCTTTCTCTTTCTCTTCCTCTTCCTCTTCCTCTTCCTCTTCCTCTTCCTCTTCCTCCTCCTCCTCCTCTTCCTCTTCCTCTTCCTCTTCCTCTTCCTCTTCCTCTTCTTCATCTTCTTCTCCTGCTTCTTCTTCCGCTTCTTCTTCTTCTTCTTCTTCTTCTTCTTCTTCTTCCGCTGCTTCTTGTTCTTCTTCTTCTTCTTCTTCTTCTTCTTCCGCTGCTTCTTGTTCTTCTTCTTCTTATTATTCTTCTTCCGCTGCTTCTTGTTCTTCTTCCTCTTCCTCTTCTTCCTTCTTCTCCTGCTTCTTCTTCTACTACTGCTACTCCTACTGCTACTACTGCTACTACTACTGCTGCTGCTGCACACACTACTCCTCTTGTCTGTTGATGGGCAGGAGATATGAAACACCACCTGAGGACCTGATAAGCTCTCCCAAATCGGCACCAAACATGGGATTCCTGAAAATGAAGCTTGCCAGGCAGAGAATGAAAAAGGGGGCCTGGTCGCTTGGTGCGCTGTTTCTCGTGAGCCCCCTCGACCTTACAAGACCTCATGTCCATACCGGTCAAGTCACCACATTCAAAGCATCGAAGTTAGGCGCTCAATGAAGACGTTCCTCTATATACAAACTTGACAGATCGCAGAAGTCCATGAGCTACTATCTTGAAGAATGTCTCAGTCCTTTCTCTGTGAGGGCTTTCAAAGACTCTTGCTCTCTGTTGGGACTGAACCAGTTTGGGCCGCAAACACTGGTCTTCTAGCCATGTTCCACCTTTCCGGGTGTGGGTCAGAACACTGCAAACCCCTAAAGCCATACCAAGCTGTAAAACTTCCATCACTGAACGGAGGAGACCTCATATGGCTCATAAGGCATGTTCATTCATTTCCAGGGATCAAAAGTACTCACTCAGCAATAATCAACATCGAGCCCTACAACATCGACCCTTTGAAAACTCTTCCTCCACAAAATCGCACCGGTCTTTTCCAGGTTCCATCTGAAACCTCGACCTCGGCCGGCAGATGCCCGCTGACGCCGCGAGCAGCGTCTGGGGATCCACACCCACTGTCTTCCGATACATCAGACCATAGGTTTGGGTCACCATCCCTCAGCGAAGGTCGGGGGTGAAGAAGGGAGTGAAGTCGACATGAAGGGACAGCGTGGTACCTGCAACGCTGTGAGGCGCTGTGAGGCCCAAACCAAACTGGTCGCTGGTCGCCGGTCTTCTCAAGAGTACCAGACCTAGAGGAATCATGTGATCGCTGTAGTAAGCCCTTAAATCGATGATTTGACGAACCCTAGGGCGCTTGGTGTGGTAGCCTCAAAAGGAACAGTTCGCCACTCTGGGCAAGGCTGCAGTTTCCCTGGGATGGGGAAGTATCTGAGTGAGCTTGCTTTTGGGCATTCGATACTCCCTGACAAGAAGACCGCAGACCACTGCAAAGCTCCCCTCTCCCAAAGCAAGAGGCCCAGGATCATGATGTCGAGCAAGTGGAATGGCCTCATATGGCGGTCATATACCACCCACCCCAAGGGCCACGAGGGATCCATCTTGTTCGGTGAGGTTCACATCATCACGGGAGGGCGCCCTACAATCAACTCCACCCCCCGCCCGAGCGTCTCCCACCGGTTTGATAGGGATCCTCTGCACCTGTGGAAGGGAATCTGGGGTGTGGCACCTGTGACACAATCCGTGAGTAATTTGTGTACCCCAATAAAAAGAGCTTAAAATATTCAGTCATGGAAGTGAAACATGGCCCCTTGAATAACCTTTTTCCTCTACGAACAGGTGGTTTTCCGCTTCCATGATTATTTCAGGAAGTGTAGCAAGTGGAAAACAATGCCAAAACAAACCTGGTGGACTTGGTGAGGGGAGTGGTCGCAGGAAGGGTTGGCGGTTTCCTCCGTCAATCATCCGCATTACGCCCTTATTTTGGCAAAGGCTTACAGTAAAATCATCACAAGTTCAAAAGTATTGCTTGAAATCGAACAAATGCTCTATGGCCGCCCTTCCTGCTTGATTTGTTTGCGGTAGAATTTGCACAGTCTCCTTGGACCGTCATCCCCGCCAGAACAGCACTACTGCCAGTCAGGCTCTTGAACAAGAAGCAGGAAAGCGACCAGGTACCACCAAGTTGCACCAAGTGCTCGAGAGCTGCTTCCCTATCTACAACATCTTTGACACCCGAAGAACTCCTCTTTCTAAGCCCACCATTGAAGTACACTCCGTGGAACCATCATGAACATTGCAGAACCCCCTGTTTGGTCTTCGAAAAATGGTGAAATTTTCTGTAAGGCCACGCCATCCATTTCTATGATAGTTCAAGGGAGGGTACAATGGCATTCACAGTTTCGGGCTCCTCCCCTTCCAGCCCGGACCGCGCGGCCTCCGGCGTGGGCCTACGTCGCTTCGGCGCCACGTCGCGCCTTTCTTCAGGGCCCCGATACATCAGCGCGCGGTTGATCTCGGATCGAAGGCGGCGGAAGAAGCAAAAGATCGGAACGTCGGAAGATGGTTTTTGTTTGGAAGATACACAGATATGGCTCTACAGCATGTTGGAGACTTAGAGATATACTGAGCGATCTGAGAGAATTCATCCATATGCCTCATCTCAATGCTTCCACCTATTCTATCTGAGAGATCATCTGCCTCATCAGGCCTCCACTCAGGAGGCAGGCCCACCCGGACCCTCAGGCTGACACCAAAGAGTTCACGATCATGAACCACGGGATGACGCTGGGCTTCACGTGAACCGTCCGGAACATCCTCAACAAGAAAGGGATGCCCTGTTTTCAGGGTCAAAAAAAAACTCTGACTAAGAGGATCGAGGGATCCTGGATCCTGTCGCCGCTTGTCCTCACAGTTTTACGGCTTAAGGATCTTGCGTCAACGAGAAAGTAGCAGGTGGCAAAGCGAGTTGCACAAAGCCAAATCTGGTGGGAGATGATGCCTTCTGTCAGATCTCATCTCCTGTTCTAGCTTCACCTAACACTACCATCTCAAGGACGCCGCACGAGCAATTGCTCATTTTCCCAACACCCGGCAGGTGCTATGTTGGGATTCGATGCATCATCTCTATTCCCTCAGTTTGAGCCACCAAGTGCAGCACGTTGCCCATCCCCTTCGCTTCGCCTCACCAAGAAGAGGTTGGACAAGGTGAGGAAGGCATAGGTGCAAAGGTGCGTGATGAAATCCTCAGTCTTCGTCCGGTGGTGCACACCGGTGGTGCACCACACGACGACACGACGACACGAGGGGAGTCGAAGCGGGACGGCGTGTATTGAATTTCACAAGACACGTAGGATGATGCGAAAATGACCACTCCCAAGTCTCCATATAGGGACCTGCAAAACCTGTTGGATTCTAAAAATAGCACTTGCAGAACATTGAAACCAATTCGTTGGCGGATGGCATCCCTCCAACCTAGGAAGACTGCTTGGGCTTTCCTGGAACCTCCGCAAGTCTGGTGCACACGGCAGCCTTTCAAACGAAGCACAGAAGACATATTCTAAAACGAACGGGCCTGGAGTTGATGTTGCTTAAACCTCCAAGCTAGGGTGGAGGCCATCGCTATTAGGTGGAGGCCATCGCTACTAGTAACAAGAAGCTACTAGCAACATTGCAAAACATTTTCACGGCTCCCCCCATGCGTCACAGGGGCATTTGCTTCTTTCATATTGCCGGGCAAACCCCAGACATTGTCGTCACCTCAAAGGAACAGAGCAGCCAGAGGCTGCTCAGGCTTGATCAGTCCAAGCATGGAGTGTGGATTTCTCCTTGTTCCTTCAGGAACCAGGGCTTTTTATTGGTCTCCGTCTCTCCCATGGGCGCAGGTAGCTTTAACCATAATCAATATGACGTCACGACGTCAATAACAACGTGATGGTATGAACGTGTTCTTCTGCACTACGAAACCCTGATCAGCAAGCTTATGACGTCCCGGAACCCACCGTCACCGTCCTGAACTCAACGGATTTCTTCCTCCAATGCGTGCGGAACGCTTCCACCACACGGTCCACCCGTTGAAAAGTGGACCGTTTGGAGACGGTGGGGTGTTCCGGCCTGGCGCCTTCCAGAAAGGTCCTAGTAGATTCCTTTGCTAATTACAATTCTAATTAAATTCTTCTTGTTCCTACTAGTAAGGCACTTGTTTCTAGTAGCGTGGCACTTGTTACTAGTAGCATCCTGAGTATGGCTCGTTTGGTGACTTCTGAAAACATCTCAGGATGTGGGGTTTCACCACCGACAGACTCGTTGGGTCGCACCACACAGATCTGTGGGTCTCTCCTGGTGCGACCGAACCGTTGACACACATCGGCTCTGTCCGTCTTGCGGAGCAGAGGCTCCAGGTTTGGATCCGTCGGTACGGGTCCGAGCAAACTTGGTAAACATCATTACAGTACTGGGACGTCTTCGTACTGGTAAACACTGATCTTCGTACGAAGCTAGAAGAAAATGGATCACTACTTTTGACTTCCGCATTGTTGTTGATGTAGACAAAAACTGCAAACCCGAAAACGCCTTCAGCCGATACATCGACGGTCGGCTGAAACGACTTGGCTGCAAATCCCCAGTGGCCACCAATCGCGCGGGTGAAGTGAAGCATCACCGGGGCCAGGAATGGATTTACCAACCTGGTGGATCTGATGGCAGGCTGGTTCGTTGGAGATTCGTTCCTAGTTTTGAGGTTAATTGTGGTCAATTGCAATATAGCCAGCACCAAAACCACAAGAACACCCTAGAAGGTCTTTCCGTGCTCTTGCAAAATGAGAGGCTAAAGATCAGTAAAACAGTAAGGTTTGTCCCACAAAGAACCTCCTCTGTCGGACTCGGTGTCATTTACAAAGAACCAGCCTGCCAGCCTGCCAGCTTCTTCGGAAGCAACAGGCGGCTGTCACTGAGGGTCCGGGTGTTCATCCCACAGAGCGACGGTGACTCCCACCGGAGCGCCTGGGCAAGAGCACCACACAAAAGATACCTCGGTTTGCCGCGGAGGTGACGAGGAAAGAGCAGGAATGCTTCAGTGGTCTGAAAACAGGGGAACATGCACATGATCTCTACAGGTTGTACAGGTTGTACATTGGTGAGATCATGGCAAGAAAAGCTGGCAACAAGAGGAGCATGGCACTGGGACTTATCAAAGAAGAGGACCCACGCTGAGCAGGACTTGACCTGCCTACATCCAGCCCAAGAAAGGGGGGAGTCCAAAACGGAAGCCTAGCTGGGACAGTTGGTTGGAGCATCCTCCTAAACCTTCGAAACAAGGCATCTTCACAGACAAACCTCCACTCACTACAAGGACTTGACAAGAGAAGCTGGATATTCCCGGCAAGCAGTCTTTGTGGTATCTGACCATCCCTCCAAATCCCTGCTGCGCGTTAGCCCAGCCCAAGGGTCCAATGGCCAGGATCACCATCACGATCATGAGCACAATGTTCAAGACGCCCTGGCCGTTGGTGCAGAGAGATCACCAGGGTTTTGGGCAGCTGGATTCCGCTCGATTGCTAGGATCCAACAGCTGGCATGCCGCGACCTGCGGTGTGGCCTTCTGGAGGCCTATCTTCTTCGGTGGAAAATCCACCTGTAATTTTGGCACCCAACACAGAATGGATCAAAAAGGAAAGAAACCCAACACCAGTTGTATATAGTTCCATCTATTTCTCGACTAACACACACACACACATACACAACCACGAGCACAGAAAACTGTTCACTTAGAAGAAGACTTCAAGACCCAAATCCGTTCTCCCTCTAATCAAAATGCTCCCTCCTTCTCATGAGTGATTCGCCAAACACGACCAGGCCATGAAACAGCCGTTCCTTTCGTTCACCCCTCCGCCTCATCACCTGGTGGGGCCTCAGTGGAATCGCTCCAAGAGAAAAAGACAAAGAAGCCACAGCCTTCGGTGGCTGTTCCATGCTGTTCCGACTGCGGGCGGGCGCAGGGCGCGCCTGTTTTTTCCAGGTCCAAATGAAACAAATTCCTCTCTATATCCACCAACCCCGGGTGCGCTCCCCAATATACTGCTGGGCAGTGGCGCAGGGGGTGCAGTGAGAAGGACAGGTGCCAGGCGGAAAGGCTGACGAGAGGGATGTTGAAAGGAGACTTTTGACCGCTTATGCATGGAACTAGCTTGGTTCAAAGCGCAGGGCACGCGGAACACGCTCTCCGAAGCACCTGAAGTCAGTTCCCAACGCGTCGCGTGGAAGTGGATTGGTCAAGGGCGCGTAAATACCGGCGCTTTTGGCAGCAGAGTGTCAGAAATACTGTAAAAAACCATTGTTTTTGATTCCCAAATGCAAAAACAGTGTAAATGCGGTGGTTTTGGGCTTCCTGAGGCTCAAAAAAAACATTGCAATGTACATTCTGTGTTGCTCGGATGATTGATGCAAACAAGCACGTAGATTCCGAATTCCGATGATGCAATTTAAAAAAAAAGAAACGTAAATAGCGCGTCAGAAAGCACTCGAAACGCACAGATAGATTACATAAACTTGACATAAACCTTTGGTTGGGTACTCGAAAAGATTCGGCTTCTGCTATGAGGCCACACGAAAGAACCGCCGCTTTGCATGAAAGAAAGCTCTTCAACAAGTTCCACCACTTGCCCGATGCACAAAACCCTTAAAATCCCTTCGTCTTCGTCTCTCGGGAAAAGGCAGGACCAACATGGATCTCATGTGGTCGCCATCCAGATCGGTCACTTCGGGGTTCCGATCGCGCAACCATGCGGCCGATGGCAGCGGCTCTTCTTGCTCAAGCTTTTTGGCATCCTCTGACAACCAATGCTTCCTGAGAGGGTGCTTCGAAGCTTCGGAGCTGAAATGCTGGTCTTGGTTTTAAAGCAAAATGATGAATCACTGCCGTGTCATCATGTCGGTAAAGTACACTATAGACTATATTACATAATATATATATACTTATTATATACATCTCAAGTGTTTTACATGCTCCAGTGGTGCCTGAAAACAGAGTTGTTCAAGCTCTGTTCTGTTTCGCGTCACTTCTCATGGCTCATGACGGCTCATGGCTCATGGACCCAATCCAGAAGAATCCGAGAAATTGGTTCTGTTGGTTCGCAAGATTATCTTTGAAAGGTCTTCTTGAGACCCCTGGAGGAAAGCAACATCGAAAGGTGAAGAGCGGTATGCAACTGGAGTGGTACTTGTATGAACATGAGGTGGCTGACTTTCATTTGGCGCAGCTTCTACACATGTGCTTGTGGGTTGGCGAGTACAACAACGAACTCCCCGCCACAATTGGTGAGAATAAGGGAATAATGACAAGTAGTGAAAATTATACTGTATAGCCAAATTGTCAGGACATCAGAGGTTGAAAAATGACCTGCACTACGGTTAGCAACAAAAAACAACCCCCTGTCTGTTCGTATTTTGGTGGACACGACTCTGAGTCTTGAAGGTGTTGTATCATATCTCTCCATCAGGAACGGTTGCACTCCTTCTCCCAGCCCACCACCCTGCAACCAACAACCCAGAAAAAAATACAGGATTGTTGAAGTCGGTGTGGGTCAGAATTGTCGAAGTGAACAGAATGTTCATGAAAATTGCCCTTCCGCAGGAAAGAAAAGTCACCCCACAGGTGATCGATCCAAGATACAAGGGCGTGAGGATGGTGCAAAAGAGCATCAGCCCAATGATGAACCACATCCTTTGCCGAACTGCTTTGAAGGCTCTGGCCCAAATCGAGTGAGTGAACTGTTCCGCTCCTGTTTCGGAGCACCATCCAAACCCAAGCAAAAATGGTCTAAAACCTGCTGCACGGAGAACACTGGCGTGATTGCAAACTCACGCAACTTGCGAGATTGGTGATGTTGTTGAGTAACAAGCAAAACAACCAATCCGCTGCATTAAACTCTTCTGTTGTACCCCTCCGACCTCGTGCGTTGGCCAGTGTCCAGGCTCCGCCAAGCGGCTGGAAGACCACGTTGAAGAAGTCGTGCTCCCAGTCCTCAGGCGGTTCCACCAAACGAAACGTCAGATCCGTTCGGTGGAAACATGTGGAAACATGGTGGAAACTGGGTGTGTCATGCAAATTCTGAAACATGTGTGCCTTACAATCGGAAAGCATTGGATAAGTGGGATACAGGTTTGGATCGATCGGATTCTATCGGCTTGCATATGTGACAAAATAACTTTGGCATTTATAGTGGTTCCCAAATAATCAGAAACACTTTGACTTTCCAATACATTATTCAATACATTCTTAGTGGGGATCTACTTTTCTACCTGTTGGGGGTCTGTATACTGTATACTGTGTACTACGTATTGGATCTGATGTATGTTCTATTCGCTACAGTACAAACAGAAAAGATCAATCATGGACTGCTAAGGCAAGGTAGCTGGGGAAGTAGAGCTCCACACGGGAACATCAGGCCCACATGGATTTGTATTTGGATAGGGAGCCCCCCCAACCAATGAGCTTCATGTGGTGACTCGAGTATTCAGGTCCAAGCCCTGCTACCCACTCACCAGTCGATCCTTCCAACTCCCCCAGTACCCACCGTGTTGTTCGCCGTCCCGTTCATGGGGGCAGGTGGGCGCTTGGGTCGACTGCCTGAACCGAACCCAGGAGGTCGGAACACCTGGGAGGTCTCCCCACGAAAATGACACCGAGTGCTGAAGGAAGTGAAATTCACCAAAGCCTGTCCACCTGGATGGAGTGCTCAAAGAACCAAATGACGTCTGGATTTCGAATCCTTCGGGTGAGTTCCTCAGATGCCACACCCAAGCCCTCGCTTGGTTGGCATCCTCGACCCTCGGACACTCTGAAGTCACTCCACACGATGTTCAGTGTGAAGGATGGGATGGGTGTGTCACTCCGCAAAAAGCACACGTCGGACACCGATTCATCGGACAGCGATTCACATGTCTCGCATCCGATGCAGCGGGCCCCACAAAGGGAAACACGAGTTCCCTCGGACCCAATTCGGCGGACGCCGTTCGGGGCGTGGAGTTTCCAGGTGGTCTTTGGGTTTAGGGCCACACCCAGACAGACCCGCGACAGGTTCGATCTTGGAATATGCAGCGGGGCGGGGGGGGGGTGGATTTCACACTCGGACTGTGCTTTCAGAGAACTGTGGTCAATCAACATCACCTGAAGCCAGCGCTTTTTTCACCCCACCTTGTCGATCGCGAAAGTCGATTTTTCTTCTTCCACCTTGTAGGGAAGACTCAGATCGGAGGAAAACCAGCCCTTCAGGAACCATGGGCCCGTGGTTTTCCCAAAGTCGGCCCAGGAACCAAGCCCATGCAAATCCAGGCCGACCAGTTCACCATGATCCCCACCGCGGCATAGGTGCCCAGCCGGGCCAGGTAGCCTCGGAGCCGCGGTGCCGCCGTGTGGAGCCGCGAGTTCTGAAGCGCCGAGGTCGTGGGGTGCGGATCGACCTCGATCCTCTGCTTCACACCGGATGGACCTCTGCTTAGGTGGACTGAAAAGCCAGGCAACGCTGGACAGACCTGACTCTAATTGGAGCTACAACGATGAGGCTTGCCGCCACCTGACAGTCTCCTGTCGACAAGAGGCCCATCAATGGCTTGCCTCGGCATGCGGGAAGTTGGGCAGTATTCACCTGTTTTGTTGGTATTGCGCTGTGCTACTGTTGTACTACTCCCCATGGTTTTGCCAAGCCCTCTGAGAGGTGTAGTCTGTGGGTAGTGCCATCTACATACTGCATCGCCCTCCAACAGTAGGGAGCTCTCTTCCTTAGGCATGCATGCTTATCGCTGTGCCATTCGTTGGCTCATCGTTGCCTTCAGGATGATCTCCATCGATTCATCCAGGGCTACGTCAATTCGTCAACTTTGCGGGACATGAACCTCCGACTCGCGACTCGCGAGGAGAGGAGCTGGGCAGAGCAACACTGACACCACAAAACCAATGGTTGGAGGAAACCTGTCTTCCAGTGATTTAAAAGCAAAAATATTAATTTCCATAGTTATTGCAACCCCTGCGCAGCACGTTCTTTAGACACATGACAAGCTTGGGGCCTCTATGGCTGGCGTTCAATGAAGACCCAGCTGGGATCAACCACTGGAGAAGGTGACACCAATACCCACCTCAATCCAATCAATTACCTCACACAGATTAGGGCCTGACTCAGCCATCACACAGCACACATGGACATTCAGTGTGTCGCCCAATCTTGCCAAAGACCCATGTCTGGAGCTCACCAAGTTGCCAGAAAGACAAAAGCTCACGCCGGAGACGAGAACAATCCTCAGCTGCTTCACTTCCACATGCAGCGCAAGGTGTCCATCCCGAAGATCAACACGAGCACAAGCGCTCTTGGTGAGCTTGTATCCTTCCAACCGTTTCCACCCCCTGGCTCCCGCCATGGCTGCACCGGCCCACGGAAACCCGTGCGAAAAGAGAGTCCATTGGAGCGTCCATTGCTGCACATAGATGACGTTCCACTCCTTGGTTCATCTCTCGAAGATGACGATCAATGGGAAAATCGGTTGATGGAAAGAACCGCCAGGGCCTTCAAACACAAAATGTTATTGTATAGATGATCAAGAGGGAAGCTTCTGGTGAAGGGATGATAGGTTGTTCATGGTTGGCAGATGCATTCTTTTCTCGATATCTACAACACTCTGGCAGATGCATCCTAAGTCCCAAAGTCTTTCTGGAACAGGAGTTACCGCGACGTCTTTTAGCCCACTTTCCCACCATGTCTACATGTGACCAAAGAGATCCTATTGCCCTTCCAGTGTAGGTTGATCACTCGGGTCACTGGGCCACTGCGCGACGGCCAATAGGAGAACGGACCGTGAGATGCCACTCGATTCACGGAGCCGAACGCAAAAGCAGTAACAAGAAGCTAGTAGAAACAAGTGCCACGCTACTAGTAACAAGTGCCTTACTAGTAGTAACAAGAAGCTAGTAGAAACAAGTGCATTCACCCACCATTTTGGGGTTGGAGTCAGAATGGACGAATGTTGCTTCCCGCTCCCAACGAACGGAAGGTTCTGCAAAGGAAGCATGGCCGTCCTGACTAGGTGAGCGGACCAGCGGACCTCATGAGATCCGTTCGACGCGAATGGACAGGCTGTCATTCTCAAGAGTAGATGCTTTACTTGACCTGCCACGGTCCCTAGCTGGATGGGTTTGCTTTCACCCCCATCCATCTACCAAGAGATCCCTAGCCGGACTGAAACAAAAGACGAGCGTTTCGACCAATTTGCCCCACCAGATCCGTCCAGATCCGTCCAAGACACCGAGTACATGGCGCTGCCATGGTCGATGGCGACGAGCCTCGACTTTCGCACCGGGACCGGTGGCGGTGACGGACCGGTCTTCGGTGACCGGACCGGTCTTTAGTCGACACACTGCGTGACACCGGACCGGTCTTCCAAAAACGGACCAGGAAAGAAACCGCCCCCCGTGGTGACTTTGGGAGGGGGAAGTCTGCATTTCGCCGTGGCGGTGAGAAAAAGAGCACGAGATTTCTTGATCTCAGGTTTCAGTCTTGACGTGGAGCCAATTGGGGTGAAGAGGGTAAACAGGAAGTCAAACGGATCAGGGGAGGCCATCCTCCCAACCTCACCTCGATTCGTAAGTTTGAACACTGAGAGATGAATTGCCTGACCTATAGTCTGAGAGATGAGATGGTTCATGGGAATTTGTGTCCAGGTGTCAATTTTAGGAGCAACGATGCAAGGGATTTCTTCACCCCACACCTCCTGTCCTCTCCAAGCTGCATGACACAAACGATGCGCGTGATGTCCAAGTGAGGAAAGCCACCCTTCGGCATCTTCTTCGGCAACAAGCCTCAGTGTCCGGTCCTTCCCAAGGCTGTCAGTCGTCTGGGTGAGTTCAGGTGCAAAGAAACGGGGGAACCCCGGTTCCGTCCTGCTACTGCACGCCTGGCATCGTCTGGGTGCTTCAAGTTGCCCCAAAAACACAACGAATGGGCGAGGTGCAAAAGGAGAGACAGTAGACCACCTTTGTCCTCTGTCCAAATAGACATTCGCCTCTTCATTGGATCGTGTTTCCCCGTCTTTTTGAGCGAAGGGAGGAGGCTGCATGGGAAAGAAGTGTCCATCACGTATATCCCCCTCCGTCATCACGTCAAAGAAAGAAGTCCCTGGCTTGTTGGGCCGTGGTGGGCGGGATGTGCCGTGTTATTTTAGTGTTGTTCTTGTGTGTTGTATGTATCATTGTTTCTTGTCTGCTGTTTGCGTTGCCATTCATTCGGTGTTGTGTGTTGTATGTGTGTGTGTGTGGAAAATTTGTTTCTTGACTGTTCTTCGTGTTGTCTTTGCTCATCGTTGGTTGTCATTGTGTATGGTCAGTTTCATGGTTTGCTCGGAAAATGGCACTGAGCACCTCATGCTGGTCACGGTCCAAAATGGCACACCTGGATTGTCTGTGTTACAATCCACCTGTACCCGCCCCAGCTGTGGGCAAGGGATGGTGTGGGAGCGTGCCCACAAGTCTGTGCATCCAAATGGGTGGTTGTTGATCCAGATTCCACATTGGGGGTGCACCAACTCGCCCAGCCACGATCGGTGTCCTCCTCCTCTGCCACCTCTTGCTTGGTCGCAGCGTAGGAGGCTGGAGCAGGGCCTGGGACGTAGACGGTGTCCTCCTCCCGATTTGGGACTCTGGACCCGATGACCGTTTTAGCATAGTATTGAGCAAATCATGGGAACAAATGTCACCATGATATATTGGCAAGAACAAACCTCAGTACATGTTTTTGCACAGCATTGATGTGCATTTTTGGTACAATGCCAGGGTAGCGGGTAGCTGTTGTATTTGCAACCGGGTCTCTTTCAGAGATTGGGTTAAAGATGCCTGGCCAGTTACGCCCTGTCTAAGACAAATCCGATCCGCCTCGAAAAAAAATAAACATCCGCCTCTAAAACAACACAAAAAAATGAAGAGAAGCGGGGGCCGCTGCTTGGGTGATTTGTGGTCGCCTGCGGCGATTCCAGTCGTCTCATTCTTCTCAGGATCCTCCATGTCCTCAGCAGTCGAAGGCCGAAACGACGAGGAGCCGCAGGGAGACCCGAGAGCACCCAGTGGATGCCACTGGATGGCGGACAAGCATAAGTACCCAGAAAAGGACACGGTTTGGAGCAAAAAGTTTCTTGGTAGGAGGTGAGTAGGAGGCCAAGGTGCATTTGAAGGAAAGGTTTGTAGGACGTATTGTTTTTGTCCAAATCTGACTAGCAGTCACCACCAAAAGCCCGCGCTTAGTGTGTGACGTTGTGTGCGGGGTGAGGAGGTCCTTCTAACACCGACAATTCCTTCGGACTGTTCAGGAAACAATCCACCATTGGCAGACGAGACCCCAACTGATATGCCCCGGCATCATGAAAAAAACTGAGTGGAGATGGATGTTGCATGTTTGCTGGATACGCAGGTGCTGGTGCAGAAAAACATGTTCCACCCTTCTTGATCAAAGCGCATCATCATTGCCATGCTACCGAGCCACAAGAAAAAGAGAAAGAAAAACAGAAAGAGAAAGGGAAAGAGAAAGAAAGAAAGAAAGAAAGAGAGAGAGAGAGAGAGAAAGAGAGAGAGAGAGAGAGAGAAAGAGAGAGAGAGAGAGAGCGAGAGAACGAGAGCGAACCCACGGCATTTGCATTTGTCATCTTAAACCTTACCAAGGGTCAGTGGTGTCCTCCTTTACCATTTTTCCATCGGCGGAGGCAGATGCTCACGCTCGAGCTGGTACAGTACCGAGTGTTTTGTCTTTGAGCCGTGGCTGGCGATCAGGTTGCTCGACAAGGAACGATTTCGTCGTGACAAACCCTTATCTTTCACAACTTCTTCTTGCAGGCGTAGGTGTGTCGTCCATTCCCCTAGTGCAGCCCCCACAAGCAGCTACTTCCCACCTCAGCACACTCTCCCCATTAGTCCGTCGCGGGTCGTCGAAGAAACAAGCGACGTCGGTTCAGACTCACCAATGCCTTCTTCATAAACCACGTCCACATGACAGCTGGGCTTCGATTTTCTCGCTCACTCAAAAGCTTCGCAAGCCTCAGACACCGTCGTCTGCCTTGGCATCAGGGCATTGGATACACGTTCAGCTTTTCATGGGACGTTTATAGAGTGCGTCGGTGTAGGGGGCTGGTAATGCGCTGTCCCGTTTGACCCGGTTGACCCAGTTGAACAGGGTCTCCCGGTTGACTGAGTTCACCCGGCTGAACCCAGTTGATCCAGTTGACCCGATTGACTTTGTGTGATGAAAGTGTGTTGGTGGTAGTGGCAGTGGCAGTAGTCGTGGTGGTGGTTCGTGGGGCGAAGCGGTGGACACCGGTGCCAGGCGAACCGGAGCGCTTCACTTCGCTCCGGGAAGGCCTTCCCGTTGAATCACAGAGATTTCTTGGACCGGACGAGTCAGATCTGCATGAAAAAAGGACGGGGTAGGTCTTTTGGGGCATCCCAATCCAGTCCATCAAAACCTCTACCAAGTGAAGTTCATCTCTTCAATTCCGAAAGGGGTGGACTTGACTTCATCACTTGTTCAGGACCTCGAAAGGGGTTCCAACGACCTCCAGAAAGGGATCTGGGCCCACCAAACTGGCACCCGTAGCTGGAAATCCGTTTCCACAATCCACAAGCCACGAGCTGTGCATGGGACACCAGGAAAACATTGGTGACAGGGGCAAGCCGGATGTCTGGAACGTCCCTTTCGTATGGCTACAGAATGGCTGATGTTCAAGTGGTCCTCATTCGTTTGCCCATTTAGCCCGAAGGCAAAATCATCTCTGTGCGAGTCCTGCACTTGCACTTCCCGCAGGTCGAAGCGCCTCTTTCACTCTTGAGGGGTCGTCCTCGACACGGACTGCGTCGTCCGTAGGAGCAGACTCCCCAGCCGGCCGCTTACAAGCTCTGGGCCACTGGGAGTCACACTCTCCACACGCATTCATTAAGCCCGCAATGCGGCCGTTGGGGCCCAATTTGGGGTCTGCAATGGTCCAGTTGGGTGTTGGAAGCTACATAGGGACCCTTCAAGGTGTATGCTGTCTGGCAACCCACTCAGACTACCTCATTTTTCCTCCATTCTGTGTCAGTTTGCCCATTGGCGCACCCAACAAACTGGAGGAAACTATGGAGGATCCGATTTGCTTGATCGTTTCCGCATCAAGAACCCAGCAAAGAGAGGAAGTTGCAAGAAACCTCAATCATGCCCTCTTAGACCTGAAACAAGAAGTCAATGTCCATGTCTTCAATCCAACGCACGTCCAGCGGCCTGTGGTCCTATCAACAGCGGCGTGTGGAGATCTGCGGGTCGGACTTGAAGGGAATCACCAACCGAAAGCTGAGAATGATCCCTGAATCGACAGCTATGTATCCATGTCAATGCAGTACATGTATGTTGGGGAGAGGAAAAGGGTAGTCACTTCTTCCACCAACCAATTCAATGGATCCCTCTAATGGCTTGTAGCCTTGTCCCTTTGCTTTCCCAAGCACAAGGATTCTGCTAATCTTGCAAAGTCGGTGCTAGAACTCTTCCACCATATATTCCTTGAGTCCCACTCCGGAAGCATTGCCTGTGGCCTGTGGCGACCTTCGCCGCGGCGTTCGCCGCTGGACACTACGACTATTGGACACAGAGTAGTTCCGCGTTCCGCCATTGTGGCGGAGCAGATCCTTCACGGCTGAAGAGATTCGTTCGATTGTTGCTCTGGTTTGTTGCTCTGGTTTGTTGCGTCTGGGACTGTCGGGTGCTCTTCTTCTTGGTTGCGGTGAGACGGGCTGCTGGTTTGGCTGGTTTGGCTGCGCGACATTGTTGCACGTGGGCTTCTTACCTGTTTACTTGGACCCATTGTTATATTTCTCTCACTGGCCTTACTTCTGACACCCTTTCCAGTCTTGCCAGTCATCGGCCGCTCTCATCCGCGCGTCGTTTTCCGCGCACCTTGCGCAAGAGATGGCGCGAGGGAGCCTGCACATTTGTGCCGATCGTGGTGCGTTGATGTTCAAGGGGTGCATCTGTAGTGCCTCGACGAACCAAGTACTAGCCGGTGATTGAGTCTTTGAAGACCGATGACTTCAAGCCAACCATTTGCAGATGAACCACAGGGCGTTGTAGCAAGGGATATGTGAAAGACTCTGGGGTTTCACCAGGTGGCCACAGGTGGAAACCAACCTTGCACGAGGTAGGGACCTACCATACGACCTACCCCACGCTTCTCGAACCGCAGGTGGTCGTGGGTGACCCTGCCAGGTCGTTGGTGACCCGAATCACTTGGGAACTCTGAGGATCTCACAGAAAGAAACTCCACTACTGAAGAGTGAAGGTCTTTGCATGTGTTGTTCGAAGGATTGCCTCCTCAGGTTCTCTTCAGTCTGGTCCCCTACTGAAACCAGCGACCATAAATAAGAAACATCATCACGATTGGCTCGTGGAGTGGGCCGGCATCAGCGTCTCACCCATGTGACCTCTCCTCCGCACATGGAAGAGAAATCTGGACCGAATAGGTGCAAACCGAAGAATGAAGATCGAAGAGGTTGTTATTGTTGCCTGGTTCAATAAGTTGTTCTACGCACCAACCAAGAGTATACAAGACCCAAGAAGTGGTTTTGGGGGCTGTAAGCGAACCAAGAGCCCTATTTCGCATACCTTGATCTTGTTGCTGATGCGTCCTGATGCTCACTGTGCAAACTTCTGACCCCCGTCCGGTTGTCACCCATCGGTGGCTCCTGGCGGTTCTGAGGCGTGTCTGATGCGCGTGGTGTGAGCGCGTGTCTGATGCGTGTGGAGCCCGTTTCCCTCTGAGTTCGATGGTGTGGCCCCACGGGTCACCTGCATCCTGAAAAAGACGAAAAGACTTGAGCTTTGGGTGCCCTTCAACTTCCATGATTTGGTCACTGTCATAGCATTGAGTTCGAACATATGAGAAGTTGAATGCTTCCTAAGAGTTCTTGGTGCCCATCCCTATTGTGCTTCCTGTCATCCCCCATCAGGTCCTTCCTTCGTTGCTATTGGGTCGGGTCGCGTCGTTCCTTCGCGAAAAGGAATACACTCTGACGAACACATCACATGGTGACGCGGACTTTCTGGTCACTTGGAAGACGAAGAATCGAGTGTAAGCCAAACACATGGTGCAAGCCACTTCCATGTGATGTGTTCGTCAGAGTGTAAACATCGATTGGCCGGGTCCAGTTGAGCTACTGCCAAGTCACCTGGTATCAGAAAATCCCCAGTATCAGGGAGCGCGAACTGGCGGGCGTGCCAGCCCTGATACTAGAACTGATACTGGAGGGCAAAACAAAAATAACAACACTAGACTTAGGACCAATTTCGTCAAAATCTTCAGCTCGCGCCTCACTTTCTTCTGGTGGTTGGCACGTTGGCCTCAATATCCTGAGCACCAGAGGGCAGCCCCGTCCAAAGAGCAGCCCTCAACCGCTCCTTGTCAAAGGAAGTTGTCAGGAAACTGCCAGTGCCGGATGTCTAGTCCAAGTGTTCCCTCATGAACTATGAACCGAGGAGAGGCATTTATCTTTGGCCTTGCATATCGATCTAAGCCTAGGTGGAAGTGTTCACAAGGACGTATTGCACATTGGACACTCAAAACCACTAAAACCCCTTTTTGTGACCCGCAGATGACTTCGAAAGTGAGTCCCCTTCAGCCTTGGGAAACGGACCAAAAGACATGCAGACCGCCTCTCCACGGTCGTTGGACGTCGTTGAAAGCGTCGAGGGTTGGTGATTTCTCTAAAAGACACTTCCTGAACTCAAGCCTTACATCAAGCCTTACTCATCTTTCTCCTGCCCAAGCTACATCCTCTTCTTCTTCCTCCTCGTCATCGTCCTCATCTTCCTCTTCCTCACCTTCTCCCTCCTGATGCAGTGCAAACAAACACGTCCATCGCCACCCCAAGGCTCTGCAAAGCTCAGGGTGGGAACCTCCTCAAGGCGTTCTCATCTACGCATCATCAGAGTTCCCTCCATCCTTCCAGATCTCACCCAAGTCCAACGTCAAATCAGATCAACGTCCAAAAAAGAACGCATCCACACATCCATGTCGGATCCACCGGACTCCCCCCCCACCCCGACGGATCCATCTCCTGCTCCTCGTCCTCATCCATCTTGCCACGGAGCCAGTCGAGGAACGCGGTGACTTGGAACATGGCCGACGTCTTCCCGGCCGTGTCGTCATCACCCACCGCCCACATCTCGAAGTAATCCTCCTCAATGACCTGCTTGGCTGAGTTGGCCAACGCACGTTGGTTTGCACGTGCCGTGTCGGGCAGGGGGTTGGCACCATGCCCACGGGACACAACGAAATCAGACGGTGAGTGGGCAAAGAAGCTGGGCTGGACGAGTGAAGTTCCCTTTCGGCCCTTGACCCCGGGACACATGCAGCTTGGCAACACCCTTTTGAAAGCGGGTGGGTTTTTTCAGCCTGCTTGGCCATTGGGGCTTTCTCCCTCTCTTGTTTGCCCGCCCTTACTTAAGTAAGTGGGCACCTACTTAATTAAGGGAGAAGTTCGCTCCTAGCTACACAGGATAGCTCTGGTTCATTAGATGTTTAGGGAAACTTGACTTTCATGATATGGTTTATGCCTCCGCCCGATGCGTTGCCATGTTTCGCCTCTGCCCTGTAGAGGCCGTCGAAGAAGGCTTCGAGGAGGGCGGTCGCAGGAGACAGCCTGGTGCCAGTGTCAAGCGAAGATATC